TGTCAGACACTATAGGTTTGTTATGTGTTGCTTTCATGACTACTGCCTCCCATTTGACTGTGTTTTTCAGCCACCGATTGCGTTCAGCTGTCACATTACATGAACAATCGCGTCATTTATGAGTCGCGCCAGAATCCATGGCACATATTCCAATGGATTTTGCTACCGACTTGCTTCATTCCAATCGCACTGTTCTCAAAGCTTCCTCTTTACTTTTATCTTGGCTCAGGATGGACGATCATTACTTTTATATTCTTTGGAGTATTATTCGCCGGTCCAGTGTGCTACCTCCAGATTCTCCAAGGTGCTCGATCTAAATCGGCAGTGTTGCTAAACTGCAAATCCAATTTTCCTTTGTTATCTGGTATTTCATATTGTTCTCTAATTCAACTTAGCTACACAGTTGGCGGAATCAGTTCAATCACAGCAAACATATTCAGAGGAATCTTAAATGGTGTCTATATTACCTACGCTCTATCGTTCATACTGTTCTCTTTGTATAACTGCGATGGCAAAATTTGCGTTGGTTCGCATTATATATGGGGCTCATGCCATAACGAATGGAGTGAAGGAAATTGTAGAGAGTTAGCATTTTAAACTCTATTGATAACTTTCTAGGGGATACGAAGTCGTTTCTGCTGGGCCAATCGCGGAGGAAATGTTTTTCATGTGAGTTCTCACGATATTTTTTCTGTTACAAGTTATTTCTCTTGACCCACTTATACGCCACTGTTCGTACACTATAATCTGCATGTACCGTACCTACGGTATAACGGCAGTAATATTCTGGTAAAAGACGATCGGAGGGTTTATGTAACAATAATAAAATCACAGCACTGCGTATGCTAAGCTTGAAAGACTAATACTTAGTTTCCCAAACAGTTTAACCGGTAATTTGTTAAAGATATTTGTACCTCTCTAACAGTTATCATGCTGGTAATGGCACTAACGCTAAATACTCATGAAACCAGCTTATCCCCAGTAAGAAATTCAAGAATATACTTCATCTATGTGTTTACCTGGTTACACGAGGCTTACTCGCGGACTCCAGCTAACTGCATTGAGTGACAGCCACAATTTAGATTATGTTCGGCTGCGGCGTAACTTACAATAGGTTTGGTGCTATTGCAGTTTTTTCATTTATTTGTATGACTTGGCTAGCGGGGTATGCGCAAGATTCCGTGGCATCCCTGTGATGCGAAGTTGTGGAGTTGACTCGAAATAAAGTACACCGACGGTATTGTTTTAATCGATGACAGCTTATCAATCTGCCAAGCAGCGCTGAATAAATTGTCACTGTCTGTCAGTTGCTTTAGGCTGTGCTTTGCCGCCTCAGTAAGCGAAGCTTTGTTCATGATTGGAAGGGACCAATCCCTTCCCTGACTCTTGGTAAAAAGCATCCAGAAATCTCCTAAGAAGTCAGCTGCCTAGGCGGACATATCAGAGTCTGTGAGATGAAAGTTATGGTCACGAACCATGGAAAGGAAACTCGAGTCATTTTAATACTCATCACTATTTGGGGTACCGTCACGACATCACGGTCAACCTAGAGGTTGCAGACAACATTTTCGCCGTTGGTTCAACCTTACTTTACAACTACGAAATCTGATTGATGAGATCGCGTTTGACCACTGTTGATTTCGCAGTGTCGCTCACATCCGAGGAGCATACCGCGTGGGCAATCGCGTACTCGTAAACTTGCTTTTTTCGCGGCAAGTGCTAATGAACTGCCCAGCACCGTTATTTCAGCTACATGGCTGCGATGAAGGAGTCATATGTTACGCATACTTCTACACTGGCCCTCGCGATGTACTTTTTCGTACGACCGGAGTCCAGATCAAAAATGAAGAAACTAGGCAATTTGATGACATGATGTGGAGGAATGGTCAATGGTGTATTGCGGATAAAAGAAGCCGAAGCTTGATATGTCCAGCCGGATGATCGGTTAGGGGTGAACAAAATTAAGGCGAAAATGGCTATAGGAAATAGGGAACAACTGCAAATTGCGAACTTGCCGATTACAGCGTTCCCGTCTGTTTTATGTACTATCCAAGGTTATCGTCTGTGGTTTCCGGACAAAAATTAAGGTAGGTTGGTTTGTTTTTGTTTTCCTCACCTCGAATTTGGCCTCGGCTGGTACTCCCCGAATCCGAACTTGTGCCCAAAGCAATACGTTCGTTTAGTTTGAGATACCTTTATACATAGCCAAAAGTTGACCTCAATAGCTTTCGTTTTGTAAGTTTCTTTGTCGCTCTTCATCCCCCTTAGCCTATCTCGCCAACCATGATCTCTTTGTTACTACACTATAAATAACGAGGCTTGCTATAAGTTGTTTTTTTATTTTTGGTAAAGCCTTTTAATATTTGCATCAAATAGTTGCGTCGTAATGCTACGCAATAGCCGACTTGCTCCTTATCCTTAGCTAACGCACAGCAAATGCTATATAATTGCTAGACAATGCCTCTAACTATGTTGCGAACTCTATTTTGGAAGTATACACATGATTGGCGGCATCCGGTTTTGGATTTGCCTGTCACTGTGGCGAGCCACAGGACGCCTGCGCCTACAGAGAAACCATGGGTGGCTTGCGCTGCACCACCCACAGCTCCATCCACACACCCATTATTCAGTGTAAACCCGAAGGAATAAGACCAGGAGGTATGTGGATGGGAGCCACGTTTCATCAACGGGGCCGGCCCACACTCCTTTACAGAAAAAACGCTGTATTTGGGAATGAAGCGCACACAAGGCGGTGACTGGACCGTAGTTCGGTCCACACTGAGTGCATTGAACCACACTTTGATCGTAACACGGCCACAAGGACCATGCACTCCGTCCCCTCCAGCAACGAACAACTGTCTCCCAGAGCCAGTATGGACGAGGTAGTGGGTGATAGACAGGTAGGCACCTTGTCAACATGCACATCAAACGGAGCCACACCGAGGATATCAAGCAACAGCCAATCGCTTGAGCGAAAGCTAACAAATAAAATAAATCGAGTAATACACAAGGAAACGGTGACAACAATCTTAAATTAATGAGCATATGAAATAAGTTGTTTACAAACGAATCCGAAATAAGTTCACGAGGTCAGAAAGTATATTTTACGGAAATGACACAGACACGAAAATGTTACCGAAATTAACTAAAATTGGCTTAAGCGAGTTGTGCATGCTCATAGAAGAGCGTACAGGTGGACATTTATTTGAGAAAGAGAAGCATTAGGACAAAATTGCAAACCCACCACCTAAAACAAATAGAGTTAGCATACAAGCACGCGGTTAGTAAATCGAATGCAGCGCACCGACAAACTCTGCGCCGGTTCGGCTTACGTTCTCTACAGGGCTGTCGTCGTTTCGGTTTTGGTCCCGAGTGGCCTCGGTCATGGCTTACTAAGCCTGCCTGACTCAGGCCCTCGCGACCGCATATGCTACAGCACCATGCGTTCGATGTCGATGGAGTACAACCTATCGGTGCTTGCCATTTCCTCTCTACATGTATGAAGTCTTTCTCCTACACCTTGGCAACTGCCTTCGTGATTAGATCGTGCCATGCACACCGATCAACCGCCTTCGATTCCCATGACCTGCAATCAAGCTTAGAACGTAAGTGACTCACTTTGATCACACATACACATACTAGCCTAACTACTTCCTGTGATTCATTTGTTCACGTGTTTTGCGACGTTCTTAGTTGGCTTACTTTTTTGAAATGACTTAACCGGGATCAATGTTACCGATCTGCGCACACCGAGGTGGGCATTCAGCAGGCCTGCAGAGCATGAGTAAGCCAATTGGATGCAGCGACGTGCCACTTCGCTATCAACTCAACTCCGGTACATATTAATCGTATGTACCTGCAGACGTCTGTAGGCCGTAGCAACCAATCTATCCCTGGCTCCAGCGCTCATTGGTCATAATTCTGATGGCTACAGTAACTGAAGTGTTTCACCGCCTTGTGTTGCACAACCCAGCCGACAGTCCATCTTCTGCACGGACGGTTAAAATTTTATAACTTCATACAGGCTACACGGATGCACACGACGATATCTATACCTATGTGAAGGATAGAGATGGTACAATTTTCTTAGTGACTGAACCGATATATCAGTTCGAGTGGTTACTAGATAATAGGTAGAACTGGTGGTTATTTGGAAACAGTATTATAACACTTCGCCGCCTGATGGTACGTGACATACTCTGATTAAATTCATACTTATCGTCCGTCTAGTCAGATGTGTTCACATACTAACTTAAAACTAAAGGGAGCTTTGTTGGTGGCGTACTTTAGGTTTGGCAGACAACAGGCAGATTTACTGGTGCAAATAGAATTTGAAAGCAGTATCATTCATGATCGCTTCCATCGGAACACCGTGGAAATATACAGGGTGCATGATAGAACTCTAACAGCATTCTAGTAGGAGAAGCTCAGCAAATCGTTTCCGGTAGATTCTGTCCAAGCTCATACGCTGTAATAAGTTCCATCAGATTTGAAAATGTTTTATATGAGACTTCCTGCAAAGATCGACATGGCAATGCATAGTTGTGGTGCAAGGCATTAACGACAGCATACACATTCAACTTTTGAATGCAGACAGTTTCTAACTTCTGTCCACAAATAGCTACTTTGCACTTAGTTTGTATGATGTTGCTTCCTCATACCTAACTAAAGATACTGAAACACATTGATCGAATCGTGATGGACGTTACGCACAATCATCGCGTTGATATTCCAGTGAGGTTTCACCACAAAGGGAGCTGATCGACATAGGATCCAATATTGTCCGTGCAGTTTATGTCGCTCTTAAATCTACGCCTATGATCATACTTCGTACTGATTTATCACAATGATCAATAAAATTATCTGCTGAATGTTGACTCTTTACTTTTTCATCCTTGAGAATCAGTGTTTACATTATGTACCCGCTCTCAGTTATACTATGCATTTTATTTGCCTTCCTTTCGAATCCAATTGACATTGCATATTTAAAATTTTTCAGTTCAAGGCACGATACCTTATGCTTTTCTTTAACATACCGTATATTTAGGCCGTGTATGCATCTTTTCTAATAAAAATATATATTGAAGCTGACTAGATATTTATGCATACGTAGTCATTCCCTTGTTTGTGTTAGTCTCGCTACCTCAAAGAAATGAATCCGAAATCGCCAATTATGCGCTGCTTCCTTAGGTAATTGTGTACATTGCTTTTGTTTGAATTTTGGCTCAATTTCGAAGACCTAGAAGCGGCATTTCTGGCTTGCAACAACGAATCAGGTATATGCTTTTAATACCAACCATAAGCGGAGTTGACCACTTACGGAAATGCCGCACACAGCTAAAACCAGATCGGTCGTGTTGCTGGTTTCTTCCATAGTACGATTTTTAGGATTATAAGCAATATACTACAACCCCAACAGAATGTCTCAATTTGTCCCCATCCATTGTTTCTGCAGCGCTAATTATCCGTTTAAATGCACTTACACTTCACTTAAACTCATCAGTGATTACCGTTTTAATACCATAAAACTGCGGTAACATTTTCCTGATGGTGGAGCTTGCATCAGGGCGTATTACCTTCATAGTAACAAGTGTTCTATGGTGCTTCATTCTGCAATAAGATACAATATTGTTGTTACCATTAAAACAAAGAACTAGTTCTTGCAATATTTTTGCGCAGAATTCACTTAGCGCTCTTCTGATTTGTGGGCAAACATGTGACCGTTGACTCGGTCGAGCTCGTAATG